GATGATGATGATGATGATGATGATGATGATAATTCATCTGTACAAATTGCTGCAGTACAATGAAAAAGGTAGGAACAATTTTGGTATGTCTGCAACTGGAAATGTGCCTCAGTTCAGCATTCCACTCCCAATAAACATCACCAACCTCAACTTCTACTTTTTTCTTCATCTCTTTCAGCTTTTTCAGAAGCCCTCGGAAATCTGTAAAGCCATACTCCATGCAGACCTTCTCAAAGTCCTTCTTGGGTACCTTGGACAGAATCTCTAGCATTTCCTTTTCATCCACCACTTTCTTCTCTTTTTTCTTTGGAGGTGGAGGCGCCCTACATGTGTAGGCAAAAAGGTCACACTGATATTATTCTGAATTTATTGTGCTGAGAAGAATTCTTACATAGAATTTTCACCCTCCTCACAATAAGGCAGTGTCTAGGGCTCTTGAAGGCTGGACTGCCTTATGTAGTCTTGCTGCCTGAGGCACAGCAGCAAGTCTCCCCCCCCCCATTAAAAAAACATAAGGTGAGTTGAGCTATTTTTGTGCTGGAGACAGAAACTTTTCTGTCAATTAACGCCTTCCTGATGATAAAAATGCAGTATCAACAGCAACAGCAGGAATCACAAAAATAAAATAAATTATTATTGAATTAATAAATTATTCTTATATGGTTGGCCCTTTGCTATGCCCCCAAACACCAACATCCAATTGCTTCAGATCAGTTTGGGTTTGTACAAACTGAAGAACCTGAATTTTGCTGAAACAAATCTCCTGGTTTGTTGCCCCCCCAGTCTTCCCTGTCCCTTTTCCACTGCCCCCGTCGCCTCCCTACCTTGTCCTCATCTGCCGCCACCACCTCCACCACTGCCACTGCCACCACTGTTGCTGCCTTTGCAAACAGTGGCTGGCTTCCCTTTGGGCAGCCCAGCCTGCCCTGTCTGCCTTTGGCCCATCAATCAGGTGATCGGCGGGGCGAAACACAGATAGGGCAGGCTAGGTTGCCGGAAGGGAAGCTGGCTGCTGTTTTGCCTTTGCAAACAGTGGCTGGCTTCCCTTTGGGCAGCCGAGCCTGCCCTGTCTGCCTTTGGCCCATCAATCAGGTGATCTGTGGGGCGAAACACAGACAGGGCAGGCTAGGCTGCCGGAAGGGAAGCTGGCTGCTGTTTGCAGAGGCGGTGGTGGTCTGTGTGGCAGTAGCGACAGATGAGGACAAGATAGGGAGGTGATGGGGCAGTGGGAAGGGGAAGGGGCACTCAGCTTTTTTTGTTTTTAGACAGGCATGGGCTCTGAAAAAAAAAAAGCACTGATGAACCGATGAACCAATTTGTGGTTTGTTGGTAAAGTATCTGGAAAACCATGGTTCATCAACCTTGACGAACCAAGACAACCTGACATTTTGATGGTTTGTACCCATCTCTACTCACAGTATATTCTGGCAGCAAGGAGCTTGGGAAGCTGCCTTATACTGAATCAAACCATTGGCTGGACCCTCGGGTGCAATAATGCCAACTTTGACTAGTAGTGGCTTCCCAGAATCCTGTTTCCAGCAGGATTCTTTCCTAGCCTTACGTGAAGTTGCCGGGGCCATGCTCTAGGACTCCTCTCCATGACAACACCTGAGATTCCCTGGTAGGCTCCAGCTCTGGTTCAAACAAGCCCAAACAGCTTAGGTCAAGTGGTCTCCCAATCTCTGTAGCCAGAGATAGGGCCATGACGTTACAGACATCTGGGGCCCAAGGAGAGCAGGAAATGTAGCTCATCCATTTGTCAAGTCCTGTATATACGTACCATCCAAACCTGGCCAAGTTATTTGGCCGCACAAGACAGAGTATCCCACAAATGTCTCTGTTTACTGTATAATGGACAGCAAAATCAGATAAAAACAAAAACAAACGTAGTCACACAAAAACAAGTTCAATCTGTAACTCCAGATCTGCTCTCTGAGGGGTCTGCTTCACTCTGCCAGTTCAGGTTCTCCCTCCCCTCTACCCAATTATTGGCTCTGTTTCCCCCTCTTTTTCATCCAATTCCCAGACCTCTGGGAAGGCTCTGCTCAAAGTACTATCCTTCTGAGAGGTCACAACTGCAGCCAGACACAGTGGGATGTTTTTTTTTTAAAGCTTTAAGAGTCATCTCCCTGATGAGCTTTATCATTGCTGTTACCTTTTCATAAACTGGCACAGAAGTTTGATCATCGAAAAAGCAGAGGAAAACATCATTTCTAATGCTGTTTTCTCTCTGCAGGATCTTTTTCTTGGCTCGACTGTGTGCTCCTTTTGTGATTATGTTCAATTTTATTGAGAGGTTACTGCGGTTTTCTCAGCTGCCTCTGCCTCAGAAGGTGGGACAGATGGAATAAACACCTTTTTTTAAATCCATAAGCACATAAATGGACTCCCGCACTGTTTGTTGACAAGCTCTCTTCATAAAACAAGAAGACCCTTGTGGTGGTGGCACCCTGACTTTGGAACTCCAAGCTGGACTGGTGCCATCACTGCAGTATATTTGGTGCAAGATCAAGACATGATCACTTGCTGACTTTGACATTTTAAACCGGCTTTATTATCCTTGTCTGCAGTTGCTTGTTTTTCCCCTATGTTCTATGAATGATAATGAGATCCTGATCTCTTGCTTTTCATGACTTAATGATCTATTTTATCCTGATATGCCAACCTGGAATCTGTTAGGAAGGAAGGGAGTCTAAATAAATAAATTTAATTAATTGATTAATTAATAATTACACACCAACAGCCACGCTCCAGGCCTCTCACAGTCATGGGTCAAGGGTCAAACTGAACAATGTGAACAGCATAGTTTTAGACAAGATGCACCCTCAGATGGTGGAAAACATTTTATTGTAAACAGCATCTGAACTGTTATTTTGTCTATTTACATATCTTGTATTAGCATGGTTTGCCAGATAACTGGTCACTAGAAGGTTAACATGGGCTTAATTTGCAAATCTGATTGCCAAAGCATTGTGAGAGGGAAAACAAGGTGATTAGAGTCACCATGTACTTCTGATGATGACTTTGACATTCATGCATTGAGGGAGTCTCCTGCAGGAATAAAACCCTGTCTATAATCATTCTTCCACTACTCCTGCATCATACTCACAAATAATTTGCCAACCTGATGGTAATGGAATTTATGGATTACCAGATTTGCTAACATGAATTGTATCTTGGATCTCTGGCAGGCATCTCACCTTTTTTTCAACATTTTTTTGAAATCCAGCTTTTCTTGGGCTTTAAAAAAAAAAGAAAAGAATGAAATTAGATGATTGACGCCGGTGCCCAGTATTTTAAGGGAAAGTTGGGGAATGTGTGGCTCTTCAGATGGCACTGGACTGTAATCCCGAACAGCCCTAGGCGCTACCGATACTAAAGAGCCATGAGAGGAATAACAGTCCAGTAATATCTGAAGGGTCACACATGTTTCACCTATCTTCTAAGGAAAACAGAAGGGCTCCTGAGGGGGGTAGGAACGCCATGTAACTCAGCAGCAGGCAATGCATGGCCATGGGCTGCATGTCCCCCCCCCCACGGGCCCAAACACATCCCCCACCCCTCCTGCACCTGCCACCACACCCACAGTTCCATTTTTCATTTTAAAAATGGCTCAAAAATCTTATTGTGCCCTCTATTTCAGGGTGTCTGTCTGTGTGTTTACAGTTCTGGAGTGTTGGGAACACCTCAATGCATGAGAAAATCCCAGACACCTCCTGAAATGGCTTTATTTTTTAAAATATGGCCACTAGAGGGGGCAAGTGTGGTTTTTTTAAATTAAAAATAAAATAGGCCAATTGTGGGTGACTGGGTGGCCCTCTGTGGTCCTCCGATGCGCTTATGTAGCACCTAAACCTCTGGAGACTGCTTCTCCTTGATAGAGCTGACGGTCCATTTATCCTAGCACTATCCTGTTCTTTATTGCAAGGAGAAGCTTCTGGTAAAAATTTCCCAAGACTTTTTCTGTTTTATAATGAGATTCCACAGACACATTCCCCAAATCTTGTTAAGTACTGTATCTTCTTGGTACTTACATTCAGTTACGCTTAAGGACACGGTATAGATGATGTCAGCATGTTCATTGGAAACCACACACTTATAGTTGTCTGAATCATCTGAAGTGAGGTTTTCCAGCTGTGAAGAATAGCCAGAAGAAGTAACGTGAGATATGTGTGAACTGTATACAACCAGCACAATCCGCTATTACAGATGAAGCTGCCTATCAACAGGCTAGCACAGATGAAAAACAATGACTTCTTCACAGGTACTGATGCCTCTCAGCCAAGGCAGATTCTCCTCCATATTTTAATGGGCTAAACCAGTAAAAACCTGAGATTTGTGAATTAAAAAAAAACATTTGCACATGTGCACTAGCAGAAGACATAAATTCAGTCCAAATCTTTTTTTTCTTTTGGCCTTTTGTTCAAAGGAAACATATGGCCAACCAAATGCAGCCTGGGCTGGGGGGGGGCTATAGTGGGGAAGCAAATGGCCAAGAGAAATGCAATCCTTTTCCAAGCTCAAGAATTGCTTGGGGGCCTGAGGTTCCTTCTGAGTATACAAACACAAGCACAGGCACACACAGAGGTCAACCAACAAGGTGGACACTTACACCTCACTGAAAAGAACAGGAAAAGAGACTGATGTGTGTAAAACTGCATCCACTGATGTATATGTACAGAAACAAAATTAGAAATGGTTTTTTAATAATTTAAACAATAGCATCATGGAAAGAGCAATTTGTATGAGAGCGTTTACTGGTGACAATATCAGTAGTGGGGGAAAAATCTGACAATATGTGAGGTGAGAGGACTCTGTGGAGGCACAGTTAAGGCCTTAGGTGGGTATGTCCCTGATTGTGAATCCTGGCAATAAATGGTCAAATGATTACTTTATTAACAGACATGTATATATTTGTTTAAAAACTACTTTTTTGGGGAAATGAAATCCTTTTGAACAATGCTGCGGGTACAAATATTGCAGCATTAAAAATCCAGGAAAGAAGCAGTGTTGTGTACAATGGTAGTACAGGACTGCTACCTTGCCTGTGTAACTCTACGACCCTGAACCCAAGTGGTCTTGTTTGAATTAGAAAGTTAACATGAAGGGTTAGTCCTTGAATAGGAAGCTGCTTGAACATACCAAGGATCTTCAGGTAAGGCGAGGAAAGAATCCTGCCTGAAACCACTGGAGAACTGCTGCCAGTCAGAGTTGGCAATACCAGGCAAGAGTGGTGAAGAGTCTGATTCAGAGTCAGCAGTTCCCTCTGCTGCTAATTTTTCTATATACTGTACGAAAAATCACACCGTGGATCAATGAGTTGCACGGGGATACCAGAACACTGGAGTGTAGCTCCTTCATGGTAGGCAAGTAGCTCTCACAGATGCCATGTTTATACACACCTATGCATGTGACACCCTGACATACTGTATTTTTAATAGGAAGCAGCTACCAGGAAGTTGCAGTTTGAGGAGAAATGTGTGTGTTCTCGCAAAGCCTTGATTGATTGATTGAATACTCTACCTTTTTTTCCAATTTAGGGATTTAAGGCCTCTTACAAAGAGATGGTGATACAGATCCACAAATAAAAATGATTAAAATGCAATTAACATGTAATAATTAAAACCATTACACTTTAAAAAATACACATAAAATTTTTTGGAAGAGAATTCTAAAGAAGAAAAGTGCATCATCAACTGTTAAAAACTCATTTCTTTGCTGCCTGAACAGCAGCCAAACATTTGATAAAAGATAACATTTTTGCCTGCTGATGAAAGAACAGCAAGGAAGGAGGGAACTTAGCTTCATGTGGAAGGAGGTTCCACATCCGGGGAGCAACCCACTCTTGAAAATTAGTTAAGAACTGTATTTCACTGTACTGTACATGTCTCCCATATTTCCCCCCATAATGGCAAATGTCATGTCAAGGTGCGGGCACTATAGCTTTGTACAGGGAAGCAGAAAAATAAATTATACTGAGAAATAGGATCTTAAAAGCCACACCGATTACCTTCAGGACATATTCCTTATTGATGCTGTCAAAAAACATCTTAGAGCCTTCTTTGATTGGTATCCCGCTTTCTCTTTTCCATGTTACTGAGGGTTTGGGGTTACCTTTCACTTTGGCTCGAAAAACAGCTTTCTCTCCTGTTGGCAGACATTGAAGAGACCATGAATTAAATTCTATATTAGCTTACTTAGCGTGCCAGCTTTAGCCATTTAGTCTGTCGGACCAAGCCCATCTCTACCTATGAATTCTAGAGGGCAGCTCCATGCATGTCTGTGTTGCAGACTGTGACTGTTATATCTAGTGCTGCGTTGCCTTGCTAGTGACATGATTTTAAAGATATATAAAGGGAGCGTCTAACAAAATGAGTAAGGTCCTGCTTGGGTTACTCCATTCTAATTTCTTCTCTTCCCAATTTTCTTGTCTCCTTTGACAAGAATTGGTCACCATTCTGTTTCCACATAACATACTCAATCCTGTGTTTTAGAGAGGCTTTCTCCCCCTTAAAGGGTTTTTTTTAAAAAAAAAACTTCTGCAAACTATGGAGATGATTGATTGGATTGTCCCAGCAGCTAACCAAAAAAGAAAAAAAGGGAAAAAAGAGAACAAACAAGTGCAATGAGATCATAGAATGTTTGAACTTAAAAGAAACAAAACACACCGATGAAAGAAAACAGAGCACCTATTTGACAACAAGTGAGGTCAGAGAGGAAAGCAGGAGGCCTGCTTGTGCACTGATTGGTGTTGTTTGGGCTACATAATGACTGACATACTAATAGAGTTTGCCATTAGCATCATGGATACGTCTTGCTTACCTTCAGGAGATGTAAGTGGACGAGGTTTCTCAATAAATTCTGGGATGCTCTGTCCTGCAGGGATCTCGACAGAGCGGGAGATCATGCTGAAAGACTCCACAACAGAAGAGGATTTCTGAGAAACTACCTCTTCTGTCAGAGAAAACATATATTTGTAATTAAAAAAACAGCTATCTGGATTTCAGAGAATTGTTCAGAAAAACAAATGCTACAAATAATTAACATCATCATCATCATCATTTATTACATTGACTGGTATTATATAACGGATTCAGGTTTTAACCAAAAAAACTAACTATTGATGTAGTATATATGCTGTTCCTAATATTGCCATTTTTGGTAGCTCTAATGATGTTATTTCTGAAATCTGGATGGGCTGGGGACTGGAGCAAGGGGGGCATTTACCTCAAAACGTCCAGGGGTGGCACCTAGTCACAAACCCCTAGTGTTGGCGGGCACAAATTGCTTACCCCTGGCTTATAAGCAATGAAGTAACATCCAATCTAATGGGCGATTCTGGCTTTATTATCAGTGTTAACAGTATGTTTTGAAGCTTAGCCCATCTCCTGCCTTTTGTAAAAACACTGCAAGAGGATCACTGCGGGGTGAGCTAAAATCATGCACCTCTGGCTATCCAATGCATGCTACAGGTAGAGGTTGAGTGCAGGCTGGGGAACAGGGAGGTACTGTTTAGATTTTTAAAATTCTGTCTCCCAGAATTCTCCAAAAATCCACCAGGCAGAATACTATTATACAATACTATTGTTGTATTTTAAGGGGCAGGGAAGGAAAGAGAGACTTTTGGGCTTTCCACTTCAGGTGCCTAAGTAATTTGGCTGGTTACTCTGCAGTGTGATTTGAGGAAGTGTACAAGCCCCATTTGCTGCTCTGTCTTAGGCCCTGGAGCAGTTTTGGAAGATCACACAAACTTAGATTTTATGTTATGCTCATAAAGCCTGTGCTGGGGAGCGCAAATAACACAGGCATGCTGTTTTGCAGGAGCACATGGGAGCTAATTATTGTATACCACAGTGGTTCTTAACCTTGGGTTACTCAGGTGTTTTTGAACTGCAACTCCCAGAAACCCCAGCCAGCACAGCTGGTGGTGAAGGCTTCTGGGAGTTGCAGTCCAAAAACATTTGAGTAACCCAAGGTTAAGAACCACGGGTATACCACATGGTGAATGAAGAAGAACCCCACTTACTCAGAACTGTAGGTAAATAAATATGTGTAATTAAATATGCAACAAAACCTCTGTCAACACAAGGACCTGCAAGCCTAACTAAAGCTAGTCTTGAGTAACCAAAGTCCCACACACTAACCTTTAGCTTAAGCTATAAATACGAAAGATGACAACGATGATGATAGTGACGGAAGAGAAGGAAGAAATGTTATTTCTTTCTGTGTCAGTACTAACTTTAGGAGAACTGAGACCAATGGATCTAATTTATTTGCACACCATCACAGATTTCTTTCATGCCCTGGCCTGCTGGAGAACCTTGGGATACTTGCCTCCCACAATTTTGGTGGACTGAGATGTGACTTGCATAGAGCTGGAACTTGAGACTTCTATGGAGCGATGCTTCTGCGTTTCCATGCGCATGACTGTGGCTGCCATAATGAGAATCTTTGGGCTTTCTGCAAATTACGTTAGTTTTTTGAGCTGTGGAATAAAACATGCAGTCATTAGTTAATCAAATGACGTGCCTTCTCCCACCTCCATGACTAAGAAAGAACACACAGGATGGTCTGCGCTGAAGAAGATGCTGGAGAAAGTAGGTAGAAGCAGTCCTAATCATAATGCCTTGAATGGCCAGAAAGAGGGAGCAAGATCAGGTCACACCTCCTGGATTTAAAAAGTTGTTTGTGAGGGGAAGAAGTACTCCCAGAATGCCTCAGCCAGCATGTAGGAGTTAGGAAGCTGTTGTGCCAAATATAACTTTTCCTAGCTCTACCACCCTCTACATATATGTTTTCCCCTGGTTCACCAGTTGATTTCCTCCCATATAAGGGACCAATCTCTCTTGCTGAGACTGGTGAAAGATTGCTCTTGAGGACACTGGTGTTATCGTACCATAAGACCTGTAGCATCATATTTATTTCTAAATGTGCATTCTGTTCTTCACCACAAATGTCTCAAAAACTGAAAAAAATCTGAGAGAATGCAAAGGTCTTCACATGATACCATAAAAATAGTAACATGGGCACCAGGCAAGCTTCCTAAGCAGGGCATTCTAGAAGTGGAGCACCAAAACCAGAAAAGATGTTCCTTTGGTCAACAGCTTCTGTGTGGAGTCACGAAGACAAAGCTTTCAGAAGATGGCCTCAGTGACCAGATGGATTGGTGCAAGGAAAGACAAAATGATCCTAGCCCTGTAAGGTCTTGTGGCTCTTAGCAATTCCTGATGTGGCCCCTGAAGGGACTTATCTATATCTCATTGCTGCACAGTTGGTTGGCTATTGCTTGGTTTCTAATACTGCTTTTTCTTCTGCCACATTTTTCACATATACAGGCAGAACCAATGGTGTATTGATAAATTTGTAAGTGCAGGAGCTCATTATGACAGTCCTCATAGCTCCCCTACTCTAGGAAGATACAAAAAAATGTAGGCACTGGGCTGGTCCACATTAACAAATGATGTACAGGCAGGTTGTAATGATAATGACTCTTATTTGCCCATTCAAGAACAAATCACCCTCAAATATTTGGGATTAGAACAGGAATGACTTGCAACAATATACAATATAGGGCTCCTGGGAAAAGCATTTCTCTGCCAGGTACTGCAAAGAGGCAACAAGGAACCCCGAAGGGGGGTGTTAGGTGATATCATAACCCTTTTATTCACAAAGTCTCAGATCTTCACTCCTGACTCCACTACACCACTGGACGCAACGGACAGCAACTATGGCAATTCTTACTATATTCAGTCCAGTCCATTGTCATGCTTGCATATTTAAATCAAAACTTCTAAATCACATTTCTGCAGATAGCCACCCACCATGAGTTAGAGTATCTATCACTAAGATCATGGATACAGTTTCCATGACAACTTATTTCTGGTCGAGGCTGCCTCTGATATGAACGTTGCCTTCATGACAGGGTATATGACATGAATGAATCTTGTACATTATGGCTTCTGTCTGGAACCCCGTCCTCACTCCCACAGAAGCCTTTCCATCGGATACTGTGTGAGAACGAGCTCTCATGTGTTCAAGTTTCACCGTGGCTCAACTTCACTGCTTGTCTCCCTGATGTCACCACTTCATGGATGCAGCTCTTTAGATAATGCTTCCTCTTCAGAATAATAATTAATGTAATCCCACTAAGTCAATTCTGACCTATGGCAACCCTTTTGAGGGTTTTCTGGGGAGAGAATATACAGAAGTAGTTTGCTATTACTTTCTTCTGGGGGCATCCTGGGACGGTGCAGCTTGCCTAAGGCTACACAGGCTGGCTCATCCTCTGGGCAAGTAATTGAGTAATCGAACTCCCCACAGCCAGATACCTAAGGTATCCAGCCAGCTCCCTCTTCAGAAAGGCATTACAAAATACGTTATGTAGTTGCCTCTCCAGACCTGTCAAACCTAGCTAAATCTGGATTGGTGGCATTCCATGATACTATAGGAATCCTGTTTATTCAAAATGCTAATTATGTGAATATCATGGATACGATTTACTGAATAAAATAGAGGAGGTGGAGGCTGTGTGTTAAGAAACAACACACAGTCCTAAATAAAACTGGCCTTTAAAACACAAAGCAAAACGTAATCATTTAAATTCAAAACACTCATAAAATATCCCAAACAAATATAACAAACTAAACTATTCTTAAATAGTACCTTTTCTTTCTCTGGCAGCAGAGTTTGTTGGTGGCCTCTGTTATGAAACCAAAGTTTCTGGAGCATCAACGAGTTCTTCTGAGTCCTGCAGCAAATGTGAACTGGCTAAAGAGTCTTGGCAGACTCTGGAAGACAGCTGGGTCCCTCAGCATACCTCAGATTTGGCTCTGTGTAGTTCAGAACTTAAATATACACAGTCCCCCTTGTGGGCTATGTGGTTACATTCATTTCTGCAGGTTCAACAGTTTCATGAACGAAGAGTATTAGAAAGACAGACCCTTAAGGGCAAAACCAACAGTTAATAGAAGTTAAATGCACCATGTATTTACAGAGAGTGCCCTAATCATAAATTGCCCAATCATACAATTTCCGCCCTAATTTGTATTTAAATCTATAAACAGAATATCAGCATTGCCAGTACAGTATTTGCCAAGAGATACACACATTGATTCTTACCTCTTTTCTGTCCTACATTAACCCTTTATCCCAGCTGAAAATTATCATGAAAGTTAAATGGCTCATGTGAGATACGAAAGTAAACGTTGTCTAGAGGGGCGGGGTAAAAATTGAATAAATAAAATAAAATAAAATAAATATGTCATAAGGGAGTAACAAAATGTAAGTACAGTGGACCCTCGACTTACAGATGGCTCAACTTACAGACTTTTTGAGTTACACACTTCTCTGGCTGCAAAATTTAGGTTCGACTTGTAGCCAGAGAATTGACCTACAGACCAGAAAAAACCCCGAATGGAACAAAAATGGAACAAAAATGTCCAGTTGCGGGATTAATCGGTTTTCAGTGCATTGTAGGTCAATGGAGACTCAACCTACAGACTTTTCGACCTGCAGCCACCATTCCAATACGGATTAATTCCGTAAGTAGAGGGTCCACTGTATATGTAAGTTACTTGTACACAATTTTTAAAGCTAACTCCAATTGAGATGAATAGAGTTTGTCTTGAGATGAACAGAGTTTTGTTAGTCAACCCTAACACAAGTCCCACTGCTATAAATCAGTTCTTTTACTTGACAGTAAAATTGAATTTATTCCTTTAAAAAGCATCACAAAGGCCATATATTCACAGTTCTGCTCATGTGCCTACTGTATATTGAAACTGTGTACTTTTGGTCATGAGTAAGGCAGAAGGTCACCATATTTTAATTGGCCAAGTTCTGAAAATAATAAAATTAAATGCTGGCAATTGGTATCAAGAGTCAAGCGGTAATCAATCGGAATTATTCTTCAAGCAGGCTGATCAATTGCCCCATGATTCTGCTCTGCTGCTGACAGAGACCAATGGCTCCTGCCCTTTTCAGAGCTTAGAATCTCTTCTAATCAAGTAGTGCATGAACTCATACTGTTCATACATTATATGACACCTTTGTGGGTGGATGTGTGGGCCCACATGCATATGGGGTTCCACACATGTATGGGGAAGAGAACAAGGTGCATACATACTCTTGTAGTGATACAGCAGGGCCAGCCCAAATATTTTGCTGTCTGAGGGAACAGGATGTTCCCTGTCTACATACTAGTCTGACCATTGAAACCTATTTCAACAGTGGCAGCAGGATAGATGCTGCTAAGTTAACTCAGCAGGTCCCACACAAGTTGTGTGTCATACACATTCTGTTTTTAATGGAAAGGCACAAGAGCCTGCCACAGCTGCTCTGCTGATGTCCGCCGCCTGGACAGACCACCTTACTCTGTCTAATGGTAGAGATGGTCCTAGAAGATGCCTAATGTAAAACATTTCAGCTATTGTATTTATTTATTTGATTTATACCCTGCCCATCTGGCCTGTAAGACCACTCTAGGCGGCTAGAGTGTATACATCTGTGTGCTTGTAAATGTGTAGTGGCCACATTCTTCCATTTTTTGCTCTGTTTCTGTAAAAGGTCCAAAGGGAACATTGTGATGGAAATATTCTCAGGCTAGATATTTAGTAGGTTCTTTTAAATCTTTCCTCAACAAGTTCTTACCTGGACATTTCAGTTGCAGGTCAATAACCAGAGACACAAAGCACCTATGCATCTGAGGACTGACACAGGCTGCCAGAATCGTTTGACCTCTTTAGTAGGTCTTAGTAAGAATCTTGTGACTTTTTTAAAAATCTGGGGACAAGTGTCTCACAATATCCCCAAGTGCCATGCCGCTGAGAAATGCATGGTGGGTAGTTTGTGTGAAGATATGGAAACAGGCCAGTACCACTTGGATGTAGTTCTGTCCTTAGATATGGGGCAGGAGTGAGCAACTTGTGGCACTCCAGTTGTGGCCAGACTGCAACTCTCAAAGTCTTTCAGCTTTGGCTGTGCTAGCAAAGGCACATGGGAGTTGGAGTCGAATATGTAAAAGAACGCATACATAATCTCACATCTGCTTTTTGGAATTCAGACTTTCTACCTTCCATAAGAAGAACATAAGAAACCAAGCAACCAGCCCTTCCTTTCCTTATTTAATATCTGTCCTTCACACTGGAGCCCTTTTAGAAATCATGTGGCATGTTTCCCCCATGCCCAATTAAGCAGGAAGACTAGATGACTATGCAAAGCAGGAAGGACTATGCTTGGTTTTATCTGACAGACCCCTAGGGACAGATCGCCACAGTAAGACTTTACCTTATAAGAGTAAAGGCAAAGTCTTGAAGCTACCTCAGGGACTTCCATTCCAGGTCAGAAGTAATAATAAAGCCTTGACTCAGGCAAGCACTACAAGTTCTCAGAGGCACTATCTTTCTTGCAAGGTATATGCTGTTATAGGAAATGCCTCTCCCCTCACGTTCTTGGATGTGTTCGTAGGAAAGGGCACAGCCTAGAAGTAGATTTCATGAAATGAACACACAGAGAGCAGACAAACACATGGAGAGAAACTGTTTTCATTCGCAGGAGACTAGACGCTCTTCTGTTTGCTCTCGGATCTGTACATTCTTGAACGTAAGTTTGGAGCAGTCTATGCAAGAAGCAAAGAAACAGTTCATCATGGGGAAGGCTATACTGACTCCTCTCTGACACAGCATGCTTCTAATGCTGATAAAATTTAAAGGGATTTAAAAAAAAAAACAGTGGAGGAAGGGACAAAATTTTGTGTCACTTCCAATACTAACAGATTTGCTCCATTGTGAGCTTTCATACATCTAAAACTTCCATGAAAACTCATCCTGAAACAAATCTGTTAGACCCTAAGGGGCTATAACATGTTGTCCTTTGTTCCCCCACCCCATTTTAATTTTGTCACCATGAGGAAGAAGGTTAACACAGCTCCCTCTTCTAAACATGCTTCTAAGCGCAATGAGTTTTGTTTTGCATGTGAGTGGTCACGAAACCTGAAGTGCTTCTATGCAGGAATATTTTACAACTCATCATACAACATATCTAGACTAATTGAGTGAGAATAGAGAGAAGCACCTGAACAGCAGAACTTGAATATGGGGGCTAAATCCTGTCGTCTTCATTCATTTCTTGTGGTTTTAGCCACTAGGTTTTTGCGTTAAGCCCTTCTAAAATAAATTAATTTGTAGGTTATTGAGAAGTTGCCCACGTCCTCCACAATTTCGCTTCGAACCAATCTTTTTTAACCTTAAAAACCTTAGTTTGTGGGCAAAACAATCTAGAATTGGAGTAACCAGTAAACCTCATGCTACAGTGAAATTAACCATATACAGTACTTCTCTACCTTTCCAGCTAATCTGTGAATTTCTGTTATGAAGCCCACCAAAGCGAGTAGCTCTGAGATGGTATTGTAACAGGAAACTCAACATTATAAATGTACACTGTATCTATGTGCACTGTATCTATAAGTACAGCCTTTTGTCTGTTTGGCCTCTCCCACTACTAGGCACATAGGAAGTTGCCTTATCTTGAGACAGATATCATGGCGGTCTCTCATCAACACTTTTTTATTTTTAGTCCTTATTTTGATAAGTTCTATTTCTTGCTTAGGAGCCATACACTGTTCATCACAACCCCAAGATCTCTCCCTCACTCCACCACTGCTGCCTTAGACCTTCCTCTCCATGTGAAGTTGGAATATTCAGCCCCAGAGTTCCAACATTAAACTCCATTTACCTGTTTATTGCCCATTCAGTGAATTTCTGGATATGACTTTGAATCATTTGCTATCATCATCACTCTCTTGGTCACATCAGGGCTCACTCCAACCTCAGGTTGCTCATGATAAATTTAAAATAGCATTCGTCCCAATACAGGGTGGTCTTGGGAGTCTACTCTTTTTACATCCCTCACAGCGTGATTATATTCTTATTCTTTGCTTCCAGTTCTTTAGATACTCATTGATCTCTAAGCAGATGCACTCTTCCATCCTATGATTGTTAAGTCTACTTAGTTTTTGGTGAGGGAATTAAGTCAAAGGCTTTTTGAAAGTTTGGAAACTTCAGCAGATCCAAAATATGGTAGCCAGATGGTTAACTGGAGCTGGTCACATGGATCACATAACCCCTGTTACAGCAGGTCCACTAACTGCTGACCCATTCCCAGGCACAATTCAAAGTTCTGGTTTTAGCCTATAAAACCTTAAGTGGCTTTGATCCAAGCTACCTCAAGGATCACATTTCCATGAGCCTGCTTGGGCTTTATGTTAATCAACAAAGGCCTTCTTCTTGGTCCCAGAAATCCCACAAGTGAGTTTGATAGGGATACAGGAGAGGGCCTTCTCTGTTGCTACTTCCAGGCTTTGGAACTCCTTCCCAAAGGAGGCCAGGTTGGCCCCATTTTTATCATCTCCACAAGCAGGCAAAGACTTTTCTCTTCAGGCAAGCTTTCTCTCAGTGACTGGAAGCCTGAATGGGTTTTTTTAATGGATTATCGTGCCTCACTGCTTTGAATGTGTTGTTGATGTTGCTTTTGTTTACTGTTTCTTAAAGTGCTATTTGTTTGATCCTTTTTAGTATTTGTATACTTACTGTTTTTAGCTTCAAATATTGTCTTTTAATGATGTAAGCCTCCTTAGGTCCTTTCTAAGGAGAAAGACGGCATGAAAAGATCTTAAATAAACATCGATATGAATTTAGAGGAGCACCCTTCATATCTAACTCTACAGAGCATACGGTTGCTGAATACACATACAGAGGCAAAGGAAAACTGCTATGTATGAGTGCTTCATCAGTCTCCTCTTTCAAAAGCTCATCATAAAAATCTGGATGGAGCTGTTGCAAGGCAAAAGAGGGTTATACTGCAAGCTGAGGCTGGACAAAACGTTAATATGACAATGTCACTAGGTAAGAAAAGGGACGTGGTGGCTCTGCGGGCTAAACCGCAGAAGCCTGTGCTGCAGGGTCAGAAGACCAAGCAGTCGTAAGATCGAATCCACGCGATGGAGTGAGCTCCCGTCGCTTGTCCCAGCTCCCGCCAACCTAGCGGTTTGAAAACTTGTAAATGCAAGTAGGTAAATAGGGACCACCTTGGTGGGAAGGTAACAGCGTTCCGTGTCTAAGTCACACTGGCCATGTAACCACGGAAGATTGTCTTCGGACAAGCGCTGGCTCTATGGCTTGGAAACGGGGATGAGCACCGCCCCCTAGAGGCGACTGGACAAAAAATGTCAAGGGGAACCTTTACCTTTACCTTTAAGAAATCTTAGAAAAAAATTATTTGGATACAACTTCCAGAATTTTCCTGCCAGAGTGGCCAGAACTTATAAGAAAATGTTGTAGCAGCCATTTGGCTTGTGGAAGTTGGTCAAGAAGCCAAGTTCTACTCATTGAGTCTCTTCAGTTGAACCTCCCATTTCTCCCTCACCAGTGCCCACAAAATACTAAGAAATGCTATAGCAACAAGAAAAAAGACCTTATTCCAAACAAACAAACAAACAAAGAATCATAATACAGTAGGCTGGCAATATTTTTGCTGGATTTTGGATTTGTTTTGCTTCCATGGAGAACAATCAGTTTTCCTCCCACTCTTTTTTACACCACAGCTACCTGGGAAGTTAGGAGGTGGGCCAAAAGTGTTCCTCCTGACATTTTTAAGCAATAGTGTTCACCAATGCCAACCAAACAATGCTGAGAAAATGCTGGGAGCTGAGGTACAACAACATTGGGGAAAGGCATACTTTGCCCACACTTGTTTCAGGTATTGATTGTTTGCTACAAGTGAACATGGCAGCCATGGAAAACATTATTTCAGTATGAATCCACTTGAATTCTTTAATGTGGAGGCTCAGAAGGTCTTATGATATACACAGTATCCGGTAGTTTAAAATGTAAAAATGATCCATGGGGAGGGGAGGCAAGAAACTTACGGTTCAAGCTTAGTAAACATACATTACAGACATTGGCAAGACATTTATCAAAGAATTTCACACTGTATTTGGATCTAATAGCACTTTAGTTGTTTTTAAAATAGCAAATCTGACAATGACATTGTAAAATTTGTAACAAATGCAACTACTTATCTTATTTACAGTATAAATAGGCCATTGTTTTTGGGTGAAGACAATGGTGTCCTGTCACATGTTGAGGAAAAGCAGTATCTCAGCTCTTAAATGCAAAATAATGCAATATGAAAGTAAAATTATATATATTTATATATGTATAAATAACTGTCTTCTACTCTGAAATCCTCGTGTGTTTCTTCTCAGCTCCAGAATACATACAAGTTCCTGTCAGAGTTCTGTTGTTGTTTTTTTGACATCGTAAATATCCTGAATCCTTATTCTTCTGCCACTGCTCTAGAAAACTGCTTCTCGTACAAGCTCATGACATGGTGGACAAACTGATACTGCTCACATGTCTGGATCATTCCTCCCCTGGAAAGAGAAGCAGGAAAATCAGTCTGAAACTCAGCCTCCTGTGTGTATATCTAAACTACTAACAGAAAGTCATACAGTGCAGAAGGTAACCAGACCAAGTACAAAGGGTTTAATTTTAGTTTCCCTCTTGACAAAGGTACTTTGGACTGAGTACTTAGATTCACTTAGCAACATGTCTGAGTTTAAGCCTGTGTGTGTGCATGCACGTGTGCCCATACGTGTGTGCGTGCATGTGCATTGAGATAGGAAAATAATTTCATTGTGTTTGACAAAATCAGATTGTTAACAGATTAGAAACAGGCTAGAAAAATGCTTTCCAGATGTAGAGGTTGTTTAGATAATGCAAATTTAATACTGCAATGAGTATGAACAAAATTGAGCAAATAAACAAAAAAAGATTTTGAAGCAGAATGATCTCATCTATTCAGGGCTAACCTACACCTTTAGAATAATTGTAATCATGGCAGAGCCACATTAAGAGTGAACTATTTTAATCTTTAGGTGTGTGTAGTCACCATGTTTTGATTCCAAAACCTCCCAATATTTAGGAGACTAGCACATAAAGGCAGAAAGACATTTCTTGATGTGCTGAACTTCCTGTGTACAAAGAGTGTCTTCTAGAGATGGCAGATAATTGAACCATAATCTTCCCTACTTTCAGTCTTGTGTGATGGTATAGCCCCTGCAAAACTACTACTTATTTGTTTTCTATGTGTATATTGGTTTTTTAGAGATTAGGCCTCCCCAGTTTCTGAAAATGTAGAAAAAAAGTCTTTTTTAGTAAATCAGATGTCTTTGCTCACATTCAAACCAGCAGATAAGCACCGAGGATTCCACATTTCATACTGGCCTTTGAAAACAGAATGTAGAAACATGTTGCAACCTTACGCACTGAAAGAAGACAAGCCCCTCAGCTAGAATCAGGGGCATGTCCCCGATGACTAGGAATATCCTGGAACAAGGTATTGCTTGAGTTTGATATCCCACAAATTTCCAGCAGCCTGCCTCTTTGAGAAGCTAATTAAAAACTAAAAATGAAAAAGGTTAGACTTCTGAGTTCACAAACTCAGGCAGAACATCATAAGTAGAGTATCTGTGAAGATTTTCAGTCATCCAGATGAAGTTATCTGGAAATTGAGTCATGGCAACTGGACTTCTTTCTTACTAGGTTGAAACATTTCACTACTCATCCAAGTAGCTTCTTCAGAATTGGTAGGAAACCTCTGATATATGTATTTTCCACACTGGTTTCACTTCCCCCTGGTCTGAATAGGCTTGTTAGAAGGATAAAGGACTGGAGGTGAGTGAAAATCCCACTTCTGCAGTCCTTCTCCACCCATTGTCATGGGTCGCTGGGGGCGAATGAAAGGGCAGCATGATAAATAGGAGACAGATTGCATCTAAGGCCTCCACCCCTGTTGAGTGAGGGATTTTCTTCATACTGTACACATATCTTTATATGTCAGGGAGGCCAAATCCCTCGCTCAACAGAGGTGGAGGCCTTAGATACAATCCATTTCCTATGTATCACATAGCTTTTTAAGGCTTTTGATACACTAATCAAAGTTTTACTTGGGCAACCTTTAAACTTCACCTAGTTTTAAATTAATTTCTGTGTACCTGTACAAGCAATGTTCCAGACATCTACAATACTGCTTGGTGCTGAATGCCAAAAGCTTTCAGGTGTTTTCCACACTGTGCCTTGTAAGGAGAAGAGTCAGACTGAGAATGTTTATACCATACCTTCTGTTTTATTTTAAACAAGCAAGCGAATAAGCCAACAGCAAAAGCCCCTTATAACCTTGAGAGCCACCACCACCACAACCCATAGACAAAGGAATTTTTAAAAATGGGAGAGAAAAGGATTTGGCACGTTTTCTTTTAGACAACTTTCTGTGCTTGCATGTATCTGTGCGGATGTGATTCAGAGTGCAAAAGCTCTTTTCATTTACTTGACTGTGAGGGCAAAGCTGCCTTGGCCTATTTTGAAAAATAACTCTTGGTCAAGAAAACCGGTCCCTAGTATTAAAAAGGCTGGGGACCACTGCTGTACAACACCACGCACGTCCACTCAAAGTTAAGTTCCACTACATCTACTGAGGCTTCCTCTCTAGTAAGTGCAGGCTCACAGAAATACGTAGTCTCATGCTGGATCATCCACACAGACTTAATATTGTCTTGTTACTATTAATGAATAGGAGACACATGCTCCAGCAACTTTAAAGGAGCCTCGTTGGGAGAGCCAAATCAGAGCATAGAAAAGCTCACCCATCCTCAGCCTACAACCTCTAGAATCCTCCTATGAGCCAGGCTGGTTGGTAGTCTCGGAGTTGTTAGCCCCCCCCCCCAAAAAAGAGGGGGAAGTTCTTTAGACTGTGGTCTGAATCTGTTGGGAATGGCAAGGGAACTGCATCTCTGGTGCTGATCCCTCTTTGGCCTTATAGTATTACACAGCTGTTCTTTTCTGCTTCTTGTCAGGTGCAGTTAAGTGTCAAACAGCCTTTGCCTTCACCGCATTTCCAGCCTTCCTGGAAGGCTGCACACAACCGCCAGATGGCATTCCAGCTCCCACACTTAGCTAGGACTCCAGCCACGACTTCTTTTTCTAACTGAAGCTTGGGACCACTTCTGATCTGCAGTTATGTCTGGAAAATGTCTTCCTGTACATTTAGCTATACAGTATGTACTCAAAGTCTTAGCTGTCATTCTACCTCCATACTTCTGTCCAAGTCCCACTCAGTGTAAGTGAACTAAACTAATTTCCCCTGTTGACTTCATTAAGAGCCTAACACAGATTGCATCTAAGGCCGGCATCCACTCTGAATGTTTACTTCAGGCATCCACTGATGAATGATTTATAGCATTTCAGCTCAACCAACCAGTATTCCTGAAATTATGCAACTATCACTTGTGAACTAACTAGTTAAAAATTGTATAAAGGTATATGTTTCTGGCCATCATCTTGAGTTACTATTTCCAGCATTTTCCTCAGAAATATCAAAACCTGCCTCTATAAAATATTGCTTTAACTGACAACAACAACGGAATAAAAATAACAGTGAATTTTATTTTTATTTCTTTGATTTTTGAAATAAAACACAATAAAATGAAAATTCCAAACAAGTAGTTTCAAAAGGCAGGGGTATATATTTAAAAGTGAAGTTTTTTTAAAAAACAAACAAACATCTAATTACTGCACGCCTAGGATTCACTCCCTAACACCCCTTTCACGTGAATAATTTTATATGATGTTCATATGACCTGTTCGTATGCTGGAATTGGAATTGGAGACAAAAACAAAGATGAAGATGAAGAAGAGTATTCTTACCTGTCTAGCCGCAGTTGGCAGGTTGTTCTGAGTATGTCAACCACACCCTCATTCTTCCATTGTTTGCAGCAAATGCTGGTAGCAATGAAACAACCAGTTCTCCCAATCCCTGCACTGGCCAGACAGAGTAACAAAAAGTGAGGAGCAATGTTTCCAGAAAGTGCAGTAACATTTCCTTAGCAATGCAAAGCGAACAAAGCTTCTTGTCTACATGGAAGAGAAAACAGGGAGGACTAGAATCTATGGAGAAAAACCTACAAAACAGGATTAGAACTCTGGCTGAGAATAATGCTTCTGGCAATGATTTTTAATAATAAACAAGATGTGAAGTGTTGTGACATGGGATATTCTGTTTATACAGTCAGATGAAGGTATAATCCCCCCAAAAAAGGGGGGGATTCTAGATACAGAAACCACAGGAGTCTTGGAAAATTTTTTGAGGATCCCAACTTTGGACTGTGGAAGTGTAATGGTTCATCCTTCCTTTCTGAAGAAAGCTGTACCAGATTTCAGTCTCTTCAACAAGCTAAAAGACTCAGATTCAGTTCCTGCAGATCAACATCATTAATGGCTTATTACTGTATCTCTGAAAAGTGATGTTCTGGTCCTCTTGCTTCTCACACTATCTTTTATGTAGTCCTAACCCTTAGACAAAGGTGGTCAGGTTGCTCTTGGATTGTGACCCTTATGTTACGTATAGAACAGCGCTATTCGCAAAAGCGGCCAGAAACATCCGGGCTAATTTTCTGAAAGCCATTGCGATCAATTGTGTGGGAGATTCTCAGATATGAGGGGTCTCTTATTATTTTATATGTCTATGGTTTTATCATGATTTTAATTGACCATATCTGTATTTTAAACAATTGTGACGGCTTTTAGCTAATACAATAAACTTGACTAAAAAAAAGATGAGCATTGCACCCTAGATTCGGACATGACTGGACTAAATGTCAAGGGGAACCTTTACCTTTACCTCTTACAGGTCACCTGTAAGGTTGGAGGTAACTTAACAGCACCTAACAACAACAAAACCCACAGGGGGAGGAAGGAAAGCTTAATGATGGAGCCAGGGGTGTTGGGAGTTTGATTCCCCACTGTGCTTTGCAGGAGAAGAGTCAGCCTGTGCATTCATTGGCAAGTTACATGGTCCCAGAACTCTCCACAAAAGAAGGAGATGGCACATCACTTCCAAGTACTTGATATATAGAAAACTCTGCAAAGGGCTAGTCTAAACTGCAAGTAACTTGATGGCATGGAATTATTGTATCAAGCTACTGCACAAGGAATGCAAGCATTTGTTTTTTTATGTCTGAATATTTGGGGGGCTGGATAAAGGTAATAATTTACCGAAGCATAGGTGTTGATTTTATGTATCTTTTTGCATCCCATCTACTGAGTCTGCAGATGGGCTGATATGCAGAAAGGCAGTTTAATAACCCAGCGCCTTCCTGTCTGAAATACATGGTTCTCATTTATATGAGGAAAAGAAAAAGATAGCTGTGAAGTGTTCCAACTGAAAGCCCAATATTTCCTTCAATGAAAGATTTGCACTCAGATTGGAGGAAAACATTACAGAGGGCAATGCCAGACAGATGTTATGTGAGCAATCTGGCTTCTGTCAGGCTTGATATGTCAACATGTCACTCTAAATAACAGAAGCAGCAAACAACAATTTCTGCTATCCTCGTTTTGCAGGTCTCAGGGTATGCTGGTATTCATTGCCACTTAAATAATTTTGACCAAGAGCTATACTCCCACAGAAAAGAAAAAAATTTGCAGAATATCATTTCACCTGAATCAATAGATGAATACAGGACACAATAGTTGAATCTCTCTACCCGTCCCCCCAAACCCTTTTGCCAGTAACATTGAAAGGAAAAAAAGAGGTTCTCCATGTTAATCTTTGGTTACTGAACGGAGTTAACTTTGCACTGTATTTGGGTCCTGCGAGAAGGAGCAAACCTCCACTAGAAAGAAGGAGGGTGAGACTGTCTATATGCTGTTACTGGCAATGATTCAGTTGGGAATACAGGAGACAAAGAACAAGGAGGAGGGAAAAAAGAGTGGGAAAGCAACAGTCAGAAATCTCTCTACCCGTCCCCCCAAACCCTTTGGCCAGGGGGGAGGCAGAGACACCAATAGAAGAAGGGTATCTGGTGGCGGAGGTGGAGGGAGAGATAAAAGGGGAAGTAGACTGAGAGACAGAGGTAAAACAGGAGGAGGAGAGGAAAAAAAAGAATGAGGAGGAGGAAGAAGATATACCCTTAGGATGGGGATGGCTGGAAATGAAGGATCCATGGACCCGAGAGAGAGAGAGAGAGAGAGAGAGAGAGAGAGAGTCAGGATGAAATTACCTCTGGAGAAAATAGAGAGGACACAACAGTGTTCTACGACTGCTCCGACTGAGGCTAAGAGAGGGAGGGAGAGGAGATACACAGAAGGGAAGGAAGGGATAGCCATGCAACTGGGAGAAACAGAACCTGCAGAAATCACCATTTATGTGTACCCTAAAGAGGAGGATGTTTGGAAGAAGGGAGGCAGGCCGGTACTGAGCAATCAATCAACAATGCCAACAGAACGGGAGTGAGCGCGACACCCTTGTTGTGGGACCATCTGCCGCAGCCTACGGAATCTGACCTGAAAACTGACTGATAGTGAACACTTTGGGGTGAATCCTGTTGCTGAAGTCTTTGTTAACACATGAGTTTCAGGATGGTTGGCATAAAAAGGACATATTAGACGGACCTGTTGGTCCTACAGAAGTTGTTCATGGTTCTCCATTGTCGGTTAATAAAATGTTTATGCACCTTGAAGATTTGTCACCCCTTTTTGGGGAACAAAAGGGAGGATGGAGAGCACCCAAGCTTGAACCCACTTACAGGTCCAATCTATCTAAAAGATTGCATCTCCCTCTATGAGCCTGTTTGGGAATTAAGATAACCAGGGGAGGCCTTTGTCTCAGACCCACCACCCTCAGAGGCACGCTTGGTGGGGACACAGGAGAGGGCCTTCTCTGTTGCTCCTCACAGACTCTGGAACTCCCTCCCATGGGTAGCTAGGCGGGCCCCATCTTTGCTGTCCTTTTGCAAGCAGGCAAAGACCTTTCTCTTCACGCAGGCTTTTCCCTAATGGTTGGCTGGCTGAGAGGGTTTGTTGTTGTTGTTGTTGTTGTTGAATGGAATGTTGTACTCTTTTAAATCTAATACATTTAAAAGAATACAACAATACATTTTAAATGTATTTTAGTATTGATTTTATTGACCATTTTAAACATAATACTTGTTTAATTCTTTTAAAAATATTTTTATACTCACTGTTTTTATCTTTTAAATATGGTCTTTTAATTGTTGTAAGCTGCCCTGGGTCCTTTTAAGGGGAAAGTTGGGGTAAAAATATTTTAAATAAATAAATACATACATATATTTAGGGCTGAGGACAAATTCTATCAATTGTTTTAATGCAAAATGAGAAAAAGAATCGACAAGTCTATTACATGCTATACAAACGGCCAAATTATATTTAGGTAGTTATGCATTTCATTGTTGTTATTTTATTTATTTATTTTCCAGCTATCATTTCCTCACTTAAACAAGATTACAAAATATTATCTGATGATTGCAAAAGGCATAATTGGGTAAAATAATTTAGTCTGTTTAGAAAGGGGGAACAATTCAACTCGTTTGGATATCTAGAGGTCTTGATAAACAGCACTCTGTTAACACATAAGTAAATTGCCATGGTAACTATACGGGAAAAACGTTTCAGAAAACAGATAGTGTTGTAGCAGATAAATACACTGTGTCACCCCTAAACCCACCTCAGCTGAGTTGCCACTTTTGCCTAGAAAATAGTCTTATGTTCTTGGACCTCACACTGATACCACCTGATCAGACCCCCAGTGTGTTTTTTCACACTGTCGTCTCTACATGGGCTCTTTATTTAACCAATTTACTCTGTGGAAAGTCTTTATTTAAGCTTTTGTTAAAACTCAAACCACATCATTTTGCCACTCCCAGTTCCTAAACAGAAAGCTTAAAAAAGATATTGCCTTTAAAAACATCTTTCCAGTAGCATGTCTGACACCAGCCATTAACCACATCAGGTGGTTAATGGTGGCTAAAGAGTGAAAATCATAACTTCTTATTACACAGCGCATGAGACTACTTCAGCTACGACAAGCAATTAAGATCATTCACAAGTTCTTTATCTTTCTCAGTAGCTTTAACATTTGCTCAATTCTATATTTCCCCTTTGTATTTTCTTTCTTTCTTTTCTCCCTCAGAACTTCCTGGCTCCTCTTGTCTTTCATTACTCTGGTCCTCTAGCCCACTGGTCCCCAACCTTGGGCCTCCAGATGTTCTTGGACGTCAACTTCCAGAGATCCTGGCCAGCAGAAGTGGTGGTGAAGGCTTATGAAAGTTGTAGTCCAAGAACATCTGGAAGCCCAAGGTTGGGGACCACTGCTCTAGCCCCTTTCTTCTTCAGGCTCCAGGATAGGCTGACTACATACACCACCCAGCCAATCACATTGCTACCCTGCTAACAAACAGATTGCCAAAGTTCCCTTCACATTTCACCAGTCATTTGAACTGTCACCAAGCCACCAACATGTTGGTTTATGTGATAACGTATGCTAGAAAATAGAAATGTTTGTGTTTTTATTTTTTTTAATAAAAGATTAAGCACAAAGGGCTGGAATGGTAAACAATGGAAACTAGATAATAAATAAATAAATAAATAAATACAAAGGGCTGGAATGGTAAACAATGAAAACTAGATAACAACAGGTTACCTACCTGTAATTGTAGTTCTTTGAGTGGACCTCTGTGATTCACACTCTGGGTGATCCATGCATGTGCAGAGGATTGTTGGAATATTCTAAAGCTTCTGCAGTAGCAAAAAGATACATTAGTGCACACCCCTCTCCCCTGGTATATGTACCTTGGGCCAAGGCTCTCCTTTCAGTTAGGTCAAGCGCCACATAAAAGGAAGGGCGTGACAGTGGGGAGGCCGGGTTGGGATGTGTGAATCACAGAGGTCCACTCAAAGAACTACAATTACAGGTAGGTAACCTGTTGTTCTTCTTCGTGGCCTCTGTGAATCACACTCGAGGG